TAAATAAAGTTATTTTAAATTATAATACTTTTTTTAATATATTTATTATCTTAATTAAATTATATATTTAAATATAGCAAAGGTATAATATATATATATAATATAAATTTAAATTAATTATAAGAGAAAGAATTATAATAAATATTATAACCCGCCTTTATTTAATTATAAGCTATTAAATAAAAGCATATAAATAATTAATATAAGTTATTTATATTTATTTATTTATTTATATATATAGCATTTATATATATAGCTTATTTTTATATATTAATTTTTAATTAAAAATAATTTTATTTATAATAAAAATTATATTAAAGTTTTATTTTATATAAAATATTAAAAATAACTTAATTTAATGTTTTAATAATTAAGATTTAATAAATATATTTATATTTATTTTAAGTAAATATTAATATATAATAAAGTAATTAAGCTTTTTTATAAAATTATTTATAATATTATATAAGAAAATAAAGTATTTATATAAAAAAATTCTTTTTTATTTATTTATTATAAATTATTTATTATTTAATTTTATAATTATGTTTTTAAAATTAATTATTTATTACTTTATTTATTATTTGCTTAGCTTTTTAATTATTCCTTCCTAAGCTTATGCATAAAGTTGCATATAGCTTAATATATATTCTTATTTCCCTTTTTAAAAGAAATATTATAATACTTTTTTTTACGCTTATTTTTTACTTTCCTTTAAATTCTTTTAAGGGTAATTTTATTATAAATATAATTTTTTTTCTTACGAATTTTATTATATTTTCATGAAAAAATATTTAAGTATTTTAAAGTAAAGCATTTCTTTATTTTACCTTTTATTAAAGTTAGCTTTAAGGTTAAATATTAATTATAATAATACTTTATAAGCTTATTTAATAAGGGTTTTCTTAAAAGGTTATATAAGATATATATTAATATAAATAAAAAGAAATTAAGTTTTTAATTAAGATTATATTTATAAAATTATTATATTTTATAAAAACTATTTTAATCTTTATTATATAATTAATTGCCTAACTTTAACTTTAAAACGCCGTAATAAATTAGTTTTAAGCTACTTATATTAACGATTTTAATTTATAGCGCCGCTAAAAGCAGTTCTTGCTAGCCTTATTTATATAGCTATTATAAAGCTGTTATTATTTTCTTAGCTATAAGCTATAATTATATTTAAAACTTATTATTATTAATATTATATTTTTTTAATATTAACTATTTAAGCCTTTATTATAATATAAAGAAATTAAATGCATATTATTTAAAAAGCATATATTATAATGGGCTTGGGTTATTGCCCAAGCCGTAATGCATGCCTATGCCGAGCCTACATTGCACCTAACCCTCTTACGTAATGGGGCATATACTTAAAAGATAGATCTAGAGTTAGGCCCTTTTAGGGCCTAACTTACTTCTTAGATATTGCAATTCATAACTCCTTTTAGGTACCTTCCAGCAAACGCTTAAGGCCAACCCATAACATATATATATAAATTAAAAAGGAAATTATATAATTAAAAAACATTTTATAAAATAAATAATAATATATATAATTTAATATTATATATTTTATAACTTAAATTAATACTTTAAAATTTAAATTAATACTTTAAAATTTAAATTAATACTATAAAATTTAAAAAAAGTTTTATTTTAAATATATTATAAATATTTCTTAAAATTTTATTTATTGTAATTAATTATTTATTTACTTATTATATTTATAAATATTTTAAATTTAAGTATATTATATAATTTACATTATATATATATATATAAACTGCTTAAAATAAATAAGATAAGGTTATTATTTTTAAAATTAAAGATTTAATTTTACTTTTAATATAAAATAATTACGGTTATATTTCTTTACATAAAATTATTTAAATATAATTATTTAATTAAGATAACTTAACTTAATAAATATAATTATTATTTAATAAAATAAAGACGCTTTATTATATAAATAAATTAAGTTAATAAAATTAAAAATAATTATAAAAATAAATATTAAATATATTAAGTAATTCTTTTTAAAACATAAGTAATTTAAAAGAAAAATTTAATTTTTTTCATATAAAAAAATTTACATTATTTCTTTAAAAATTAATAATTAAAAAAGTATAAAGTTATATAATATAATAAAATAATTATTTTTAAGTAATAATAAATTTAAATTAAGGCATTTAAGGTAAATATAAATACTTTATATTATATTATAAAAGAAAATATAAAAATAAAATAATTTTTTAAAATTTATTAATTAAAAAAAATAATATTACTTTTTATACAAGAAAGAAATTTAATAAAAATTATAAATAAAGATTTTTATATTTTAAATAAATATAAAGTTAAAAGCTTTAATGTTAATAATAATTAATAAGGCTTAATTATATAAATTAATTATATTCTTTAAATTTCTTTATTAATAATAATAATATTTCTTATTATATATTTTAATTATATATAATGAATATTTATATAATTTTCTTGTTATAAATTTATTTTAAAATTATTATCTTAAAAAGTAAAGTTATTTTTATTTATTAATTTTATTAATTACTTATAATAAAGCTTAAATATTAATAATTTAAAGCGTTTTAAGTTTAAAGTTTTATTTAATACTTTTTTAATTAATAAAATATAAAAATAAGAAGATTTAATTAATATTAATTAAAAGGAAAATTTTTTAAAAAGGTTTAAACTTATGCCCTTTATAAAGAAAAGCTAATAATAATAATTATTTTAATAAAACAAGAAATAATATAAATAATAAGTAATTATACTTAAATTTATTATATAAAGCTTTAAATAATAATTATTAATTTTTTTATAAATTAATATTATATTAAAGGCCATTAATTTATATTATGTAATGAAGCTTATGCCGGAAATAATTAATATATTAAGAGTATAAAAGATAAAGAATTAAGAAAGAAAGCTAAAGGCATTGCCCTAGCTTTTAGCTATATATATATAATGTTAAGTTATATAATTAAATAAAGATTTATAAGCATGCTTATTATATTACCCCTTAAATTAAGAATCCTGCCTTAATTAATGCTTTAAATCCCTTAAAAATTGCTTAAATTCTTAAGGAAATTATAACTTATTAAGATTTATTAAGTTTATTATTATTATTTATTAATATTATATTATTGCCTTTAATTTTTACCTTGCTTACCTTAATTAACGCTTTAATATAATTAGCTTTTATTAGCATTTTAAATTACTTATAAGCTGCTAGCATAAGGTTTTGCTTTCTCTTTATTTAAGTATGTAAATTGCTTGGTTTTTATATTGCATAGCTAAGGTTAACCCTTTATTTCCTGCCTTTTATTTAATCTTTATTAAATTTTACTTATTTAATAATAATTATTGCTAATAATTAAATAGTTATTATTTTAAGTTTATTATAATGCTAAGCAATATAACTTATTATATTTAAAGTAAAGGCTTTTAAACCTCTTTATATAAGTTTTTATAAATATATTATTAATATTTATATTTATTATATTTAAAGGCGGGGCTTAAGGCTTGGGCTTTATAATTAATATATTAAAAAGCTATTATATAAGATTATAAAACGCTTTATAATTATTAAGTTAATTTTTAATCTTAACTATTTTTTCATTATTATATTAAGTATTATAATTAAAAAAGCAATTTTAATATTTAAGGGCTAAGCGTTAACTTTTACATTAAATAGCGTGGAATTAAAGGTATATAAAAAGGTATTTATAATGCTTATAACTTATTAAATCTTGCAAAGCTAAATTCTTTAACATAAGTTATAAATAACTTAAAAATATTTAAAGAGCTATTTTTTAATTATATATATATATAATATAGTTAAGCGTATTTTAAATTAATTATTATAGCATTTATTAATATCTTTATGCAAATTTTAATTTATTAAGTATTAAAGTTTTAAACGCCTTGAAAAGAAAGCATATTAAGTAATTAAGTATAAGGTTGGTTTGGGATATTGTCATGGGCGCTGCGGGCAGGGTGGCTGGCAGTTAGGCTGCGGCAGGCAATATACGCACAGACCACCTGCAGCCAAGAGGCCCTTAGCTTTTAAACCTTAGCTGCCATCGGAGGAATCTTTTCCTCCCTCTCTCTTTTCTTAGCCAGACGAGGTCTTATTTAGAATTCTACAATATTGAGCAAGACTTGAGAGCTTTGTCTCTCGTATGTCCCTCCCGTGACAGATATTAGCCATATTTAAATAAAAAATAAAAGAAATAAAGCGGTACTCTTTCCAATTAATTAATATAAGTAAAAGGGTCTTTTATAATATAACGGGGCTTATGCTAAAGATAGTTAATATATTAAGAATATAAAAGATAAAGAATTAAGAGAAAAAGCTAAAGGCATTGCCTTAGCTTTTAATTATATATATATAATGTTAAGTTATATAATTAAATAAAGATTTATAAGCATGTTTATTATATATTATAACTTAATATTATATATATATATTTATATTATTTTTAATTTAAATTATTTCTTATATTATAAAAAATATCGTTTTATATTTATTATTTTATAATTATTATACTTTTTTAATTATAAATTTATATTTAAAGTTAGTATTTTTATATAAAATAACTTAAAAAAGCTTATAAAATATTATTTTTATATTTTTAAAGTAATGCATTAAAATAATTATTATAATATTATTTTAATAAAGAAATTTAAAAAGATATAAAGATAAATTTACGTTTTATTTACAATTTTATATAATGTATTAAAAATTGTTTTTAGGTAAAGATTAAATACTTCCTTATTATAATCAAGGTGCTGAGTATTGCGCAAAGGCCAGAGAACCTCTTTCTTCTTCTCTGATAATTAAGCTTGCTTCATTTTCTCACTCCTAAGTGGGCTTATTACAACTTGCCTTGGGCCACCCACGACTGCGCTGTGTAGAGTGGCGGTCTCAGCCTGCCCATGAATCAAAAAGCCCCGGTTCTTCTAAACCTTCATGTAAGATCGATGATCTCTGGGGTAGACGGGCACTTGGCAGCCACGGAGGGCTTCGCACGTTTCTTGTCAGTCTCCTCCTCCTTCTCGATCTCGGGCTCGTTGTCCTGGCGGCGGCTTGCCTTCCGCTTTGGTGTCCTTTCCCAATCGAGCGCCGCCGGCTGTCGCGAGGCACTGTTGGCAGAGTTGGACTCCTGGTGGACTTTCGACACTGCAGCTTCCAAGTCGTTGATCAAGGCCGGGTAGTCTACGTGTATGGTCTGCTGCGGACTGTAGGGGCTTCTCAAAGTCCTTTGCTTGTTGATATTCGCCGCTTGTTGCTGTTTCAATAGCTCACGCAGCATCTCCTGACCGTTTCTTCGAACATACCTGTCCAGCCAGGCCTTTGCCGTAGGGTCTGTCTCTTTGGCTAGATAGTCGAGGAGGAGGCATTTCCAGGTGGAGTACTGAACGAATCGGTTGAAATCAGGATTGTTGTTTTGGGAGGGTTCATGTTTGTACGGCTCATCATCAAGAAGAGATCGTATGGTGATGAGTACGGCATGCTAGACAGTTAAGGCCAGGTCAGCAATTTGCTCGGCCACAAGTATGCCTGCCAAGGACGGCTGAGAGCCTCCATGACACCCCGGCCTGGGCCCTTTTGCCACGGGCCAAGCTCTGGAACTCAATCGCAACGAGAGAGAGATTCACGTACGCAGGTCATGCTGAAGGCCCATGGCTCCCCCGACCAAGTGCTGTCACATCATCTTTTGTCAGTGAAAGGAAAAGGCTGGGAGGAGGGATTGGGTGTGTGCGCGAGTGTGGATCACATCTGAAAAATGATAAGCAGGAAAGGGAGATGAGACCTACCCCAGGATGCTGAGACAGACCTTGCCTTCAACGTAGAGGTTAGGATGGATCCTGTGGCCTGTGTGTTGAATGAATTTCACCTTTGGGGGCTTCAAGGGATAGTCGTCCTGGGGAATCTCGAAGTGCAGCTTCACGAGTCGATATCGGTAGATGGTGTCGGGAGCAATGATGTAGGCGTCGAACTCAAACAGGTTATCGTCTTGGAATATGACAAAGTAGTCCGGCGCCTCCTCTTGACTGCTTGCCTTCTCAAGCTCTTGGCGCTCATGGGCCATGCGTTTGGCGGCGAGTGGTGCCACCATGGCAGGCAGACGGTCTGTTGGTCCGTCTGTTTGTCTGCTGAGCGGTCTGGTCAAGGCTGAGTGCAGATCGAGTGACAGAGAGTTGCGGGGCACTCAAGTCTTAACGTTGGCCGCTGACTGATTGACAACGACCGATGACTGTTTTCACAGCGCAATGGTCACGCTGATGCACGGCTTCCTTAACAAAACCGGCCAGAGCCGAAGCCTTGACAGTGGATGAGACAAGATTGAGACCCCTCGAGTTATGCAGTGAGATGATGTGGTATCGAGAATGTGAATTGGGGGCCCAAGTTGTCGATAGTGGTGTCAGTCTCTGACGATAGTTGATGTTCCAAGTGTAACTTTAAGTATGAAGGGGTCGGGAGACGGGCCGACCAAACAAACATTGGGAGACGGACGTTTTCAAAGCAAAATGAATTAGCGCCTGGGCCAGAGGGGCCACCGGACCCAGGCAGTGGTGCGGGGAGGGGGATACAACATGAAACAAAACAGGGGATTATTGGTATCTTCTCGCAAGTAAACATTTGCTAATTTTACAGGGTTTTTACTTTTGGTTACTGGACCTTCCCCCTTGTGTCAACCTCCCAGATCTCTTCCACCACACCCTCCCTGTAAGCATAGTAGACGTCATGCAGGTTGACAGTCGGATCGATATGACTAGGGATCATCTCCACCCGATCACCAACATTCAGGTCGGGAGTGCCGGGTTCCCAGCTCAGACTGCCATGCTCATCACCCAGGACGCCATATGTGTACCTCTTGTCCTTTGCCTCGGCAAGGCCACTGTCGGTGGTTAGAGACTTGAGCCCAGAGTCGATGGTCACTGCATTCGGCCCCTGCTTGCTCAACACGGTCGACAGGATAGTCAGGCTGTTGCCGTAGAAAGACCCGACAGCGTTGCGGTAGTCGGTGTCCATGAACAAGAAGCTGCCGGGCTGCACCTCGGTGACGCCGGGGACGGTGACGCAGAACTCGGCGGTGCCAGTGCCTCCGGTGGTGACCACTTGGATGTCGTGCCCTTCGGCCCGCAACTTGTCGGCCGTTGCGGTCAGGATGGCCATGCTCTCGAGACAGAGCCGCCTCCTCTCGTGGACCCCATGCACGTGCTGCAAGTGACCCTCGTAGCCCTGGACGCCGATGAGTCGTAGGTGCTTCAGGCCGGCGACATGCTTCGCCAGGTCCACCGCACCCTCGGGCTTGACGCCGGTGCGGTGCAGGCCGACGTCAAGGTCGATCAGCGTCGTGATGGCCTCGTCCTCGGGGAGGCCCGCCTCACGCAGGGCGTTGTCAATGGCAGTCGCGGCGCCGGCGTCATCCACCACGATTCTCAGCTTCCGATGGCGAGCAAACAGGTCCACCAGCCTCCGCACCTTGGGTTCGCCGACAATCTCGCAGGTGATCAACAGGTCGTCGAAGCCCATGGCGCACATGACCTCGGCCTCGGACAGCTTGGCGACGCAGCCGCCCTTGGCGCCGGCGGCGTTGAGGCGGCGGGCGAGGGCGGCGGACTTGGTGGTCTTGAGGTGCGGGCGGATGTTGACGCCGGTGGGGAGGAGCTGGGACATGAGCTTGGAGATGTTGGCCTCCATCAGGCCGAGGTCGACGATCATGGACGGGGTGTCGAGAGAGGAGACGGCGTCTCCCACTCTTGGGGCGTAGGGCGACATCTTTTCGCGTTTGGGTCTGCACCGAGGGACACCAGTACGTCTGTTTGTTTGTTTGTGGATGAGCACGGAGCTGAGAGGGGGCTGTGGTTGGATCAATTCCGCTGTTCAGGTGTTGCTTGGCTCCTGCCGTGGGTGAGGTCGGCGCTGGTCTTCAAGGTCGGCCGGCGCTTGGCAAGAAGCCGCCGGCTCCGTCATCGGCTGCCAATCGGCACGCCCTTGGTAATTGGGGGGACAAATACGCCGTGGCACCAGCTTATCCGGCAGCGACACCAGTAGAACCTAATGCACAATCCCTAGGAACCAGGGACCAGGAACCAGAGACCAGACGGACCCCACAGGGCAGTCAAGCTGCTGTGCCTGGGCTAGTTGTTGCATGGGCACCCATCGATGCGGGTGGTGCCCCTGACTCTCCACCACGCCCATCTACGGCATTTCCCAATCCGGCCTCCCGAGAGTGTCACGGTGGGAAACTTGGGTGGCACATCACTGACCGGCCTGCCAGCAATTGTAACGCAGCAGTCACCAGTGTCACAGGTGTCACAGAAACCAGCCCAGGAAACAAATAGTATGAATGTGCGCGCACACTCTTCGGCATATCTGCCAGCAAAACCTTGCGGCCCCTTTTCTACCAACGCCTAGAACACCAAGGGCCTTGCCCAGCCAAAGTTGCAAGCAAATAGGAAGAAAGGGAAAAAAACCAAAAAACCATGCTATACCGGGAATTCTCCTCCTTCTCAAGAGTTGCTTCCCTTCGCGCCAACCTCCATAACAAACTGAGGCCCAAAGCTGGGACCTCCAAACTTGTCCACGGTGAGGCTGGCAACGGGCGCCTCGGTCAGGCTGCCCGTGTTCGCATCCCTGGCCAGCGCCAGCAAGCCGCTCTCGCCGTCCTGATTCGTCGAGAAAAGCACGCCTTCGTCCGCGGCCAGTGAAAACATGCGCGGGATGAGGCCGCCCGAGCTGACCTGGTCCACGAAGGCGAGCGGGGCGGCGGCGTTGTTGGTGTCGATGGAGAAGTGGGAGATGCTGTCGGTGGTGTTGCCGGTGAGACGGTTCGAGACATAGAGGTGCTTGCCGTCCGAGGTGGTCACCAGCTCGCCCGCCGCTGCGGCGGTGGCGTTGGCGGGCGGGAATTCGGCGCCAAAGCTGGAAAGAGACTGGACCTCCTTGAACTCGAGGTTGTCTCCCGCGTAGGTCAGCTCGAAGGCCTTGACCACCGACGTGATCTCGCAGGCCAGGAAGTAGTGAGTAGCCTTGTCGGCGCCCGAGGAGACGAAAGCGCCGTGGCGCGGGCCGTTGCCGGCTTCAACAGTGACGCGGTTGGAGATGTTGAAGTCGTTCTGGCCATCGAGGACGAGAATAGAGTCGGTGCCGAGGTCGTTGACGGCAAAGAAGCGGCCGCTGGGGTCAAGGAGGGCCTGGTGGGGATCTGGGGCCGGTGTCAGCTACGAGGACGTGGCTTGTGTGCAACAAGACGGGATTTGGGGAGAGACAAAGCTTACGAGGGCTGTCCTGGCGTCCCGTGACAGGACCCGGGGTGCCGCCAACAGGAATCTGCTTGAGGAGCTGTCTACCAGTCAGAAGGAAGTCCTGCTACCACACACCGTCCGCTGAACGCGGTGGACGGGGCGTGGAAATTACCTTGAGGGTTCCGCCGGGCGCCGAGACATCCCACACATCGACCTGGCCCTGGCCAAAGGCAGCACCGACCAGAACGGTCTTGTCCTGGTTGAACTCGAGGGAGACGACCCCTGACGACCCGGCGGCATTCTGGACCAGCTTCAGGTCGTTGGTGGCGGGGTCAAACTGGATCGACAGGGTCAGCGAACAGGTGGGTGGCTTCCTGAGGGAAAGGGGGCGCGGGACACACGTTGAAGAGTCTGGTGCTGTTGCTGTTCTCCTCGACAGCGTACAGGAGGTTTGGCTCCTTGAACACCATCCAGCTGGCAGAGGTGCCGGGGGTCGAGTCGTTGGCCACGATGTTGAAGGAGGCACCATCGAAGTCGGCGGCGGCGACGATGCCGCTGGGCCCACCGCCAAGCAACAGCTTCTTCGCACCGTCAGCCGCCGAGCTATTCTGTCGCCGGAATTTCAGGCCGGTGGTCATGCCAGCAGTGGAAGTGGCGGCCAGCGCCATGGTGAGGAAAGCCCGGAGAGACATGGACGGCGTTATGACCGGGCAGGGAATTATGAAAAGACAGGAAGGGGAGAAGGAGGAAGGACGAGAGCACAACGGGAATTGCGTGGTCTGGTGAGTGCTCGAACGAGTGGGACGGTTTCCCTTTTTCAGATCGAGGGGCTCCAAATCAAAGAAAGAAAGAGGCAGATAAAAATCAGAAAGGACTGGGATCTCGCAGAGCAGATTGATGCTGGCGAAGCGAAAGGAAGGAAAAGCACACGAGTGGGCCGTCAGCTATATGTAGATGGACGAGGCTGTGCCGTGCTGTCTGTGCAAGTGAAGGCGAGGCCAGTGAACAAGACCAAGTACCCAGTCATCATGCACCCGCACTCTCCCATTCCTCCTATTCCAGAATAGAGTTTGCGAGATGCGACGAGTCAGCCCGTCGGGAGCGCTCCCATTCACTCGTTGTTGAAACATGACTGCATGCCCTGCAGGGGCCAACCAACAAACATCGGTGCAGTGCGGAGAGCAACAGACCGAGGCCACTCGCTCGCCCTCTCTTTACTCACTCACCTTGGTCTTGATGGCGGCAGTCATGACGAACTGCTGGCCCTGAGATCGCCTTGATGGGGGCTGTTGGTGGCTGTCTATGGGGTCCTGTTCAGGGCAGCGAAACCCACGGCCCAATGAAAGACAGAAACGGTTAGGCACCCCTGTAGCAGATGTGCTGTTGGTTGGGAATAAGTGGTGGTGATGCGACGGGGCGAGACTGGTGGGTTGATGTTGGTGTTTGGAGTCGGTCTACTAGCCCGGTATGACTGCAGGTCCAGGTATTCCGTCCCTCAGGACATGTAGTCTGCAGTAGATGCACTCTCTCTCTCCACAGTAGCCCTGGGCACTCCGTAGGACGGAATCCACACTCCTGCCCACAGCCGCGCTTTGCTCTTGGCGCCTGGGATGGGCTGCGGCTGGGGCTGCGGCTGGGGCCACTGACACAGGGTTGCAGGGGGCCGGCTGCCAGGCTGCCACCCAAAGAGGGAGACAAACACAGTGGATGCACATGGACAGATTATACGGTAGGTATTCAGGATGTGTATTGACATCGTGCACAGGTTATATCATACGTAATACATGCCGAAGCACAAGCGCCAGCAGAACACAGGCACCACTGATGGCGGTTACACAGACGGCCCAAGACGAGGCCAAGGCCTGGTCTGGCTGGCCACTATTTTCTGCCTGGAGACCTGTCATGCACTCGGAATGGGGTTGGGATGCCACCAGCTTGTGGAACTCCGCGCTGTCTGGTCTGAAAGAACCAACACATCATTTCATTATTGTAGGATGACTAACTTGCTGAGTATAAATCCAGACGACATGCTGATATGCCGGGGTAATAAATCAGGCCTGGAAACGGAACCGGGAAAAGGGAATCCTGCACCAAGGTATCTAGCCGTGAGAGACAAAGCAAACAAATCATTTGGCAACCCATCGGAGGCCGGCGATACGGCCGGCTCCGGCACTCAGTACGTGATGGAAACAACCTTGTCCTTCCACCGGCGGCCGTCACCGGCAAGGAGGTTGTCAAAGATCCACTTGCCCACGTCCTCCCTCGAGATGGTGTAGCCGACCTCCTTGCTCTCGAGCTTGCGGGCCTTGGGGTCCTCGACGCCGACGCGGATGGGCTTATTGGTCTCATCGCCGTCCGTCAGCAGGCTCGCGCGCACGATGGTGAAGGGCTCGCCGCTGTCAAACATGAGTGCCTCCATGGCGGTCTTGTCCTTATGCGGCTGCTTCAGCATCAGGCCGTAGATGGGCCACAGCGAGGCAGGGTAGTCGCGGCCGTGGGCGGACATGCCGGTGGTGCTGGCTATGATGGTCGGGCTGCCGGTGGCGCCGGCGGTGGAGCGGGCGTCTTGCAGGGCGGCGACGAGGGCCTTCATGCCGTCCTCGCAGACGTGGGGCTGGTCGTTGCCCATGCTGGAGAAGGAGAATGCGCCGCCGATGGTGAAGACGACGGCGTCGACGAGGGATGCGGGGCTGTCTGGGCGGACCAAGCACCGGGCGAGGGCGTCCCGGTCCACGACGTTGCCCTGCTCGATGCGCAGGTTCGGGGCGTTGCGCAGGGACTCGGGCAGCTTGTCGGTCAGGCGCGAGGGCGTCCGGCAGAGTGCGATACACGAGTGGCCGGCTGCGATGCTCCGGCGCAGGACGGAGAAGCCAGAGCCCCCCGTGGCGCCGAGGAAGAGGATCGTCTGGGTGGATGATGACATGTTGGGTATGGTTGTTGGATCTGATGTGTATTATTTCCTGATGTCTCGGTTGTGAGTAGTAGGCCTCTGTCTGCAGTGCAGTGATTGTTGGATTGTCGTGAGATGGTAGTTAGCAGGACATCATCGTCACAATCAACAGCAACAGCAGCATTCTTATCCTCTTGACCTTCTGGATTGCCTCGACGTGGCGGACAAACTGGAGGCAGGGCATGAAGCCGCAGCCTCGTCGAGTTGATCCGAGGGAAGTGGCTGAGCCTGGTGCTAAGCAATGGTTAGCCTCAGTTGCATTGGTTAGCAATGGCCAGCAGTGGCCAGCGATGGCGGGGTGATGCCAGCTGGAAGGATCAAGATGGATGAAGGATGCAATTCAGGCCGGAAGGGAGTTGGGCCGGCTGGAGTCATTGGCACGGCCAAGAGGTGGGGCCTGCCTGTTGTTGAGCCGAGTGTGGGGTTGACCCGAAGGCAGGCAGTGGGGCGGGTACTGGCTGATCTGGCTGAGATCAGCCACTTCCCAAGGCCCAAGTCGGAGGAACCAAGCCGCCTGCTTGTCTCGTCATCCAATCACACCTCTTCTCGTGCCTGTCTCGCGTCTTTCGCTCCTGGACAGTAGGCATTTGAGCATGGCCCTCTTGATTTTCCGACTTGGCCTTCGCGGTGGTGCCTGAGTGCCCTCGAGTAAACCATGTCCTCTCAAACAGTTGTCTTCGACTGAACCAAGAACAGACAGACACATGAGGCTGGGCTTATATACGGTCCGGGGATGGGAGGGAGAGGTAGAAAGTTGTATCACTGCTCACACCATGACAGACTCATCAGCCATTACCCGCGCCAACATGGCGGGTGTATGACTGCACATGCATCCTGCTGCGATGGGATTGCTGCTATGACATCCCGCATCACATATTCTGCATCACACAAGGGTGACCGCAATCGAGCTTGACGGCTCCGACAGGAGGACCGTTGCTTGCAAAAATGGTGAATGTCTACTGGTTCGGTTCCTCGACAACAACGGCCACTTCCCACGTGGCTGATGCCTCAAGCAGGTCATGCAGGCAAGGCACACTCACACACACACACACACACGTGCACACGTGCATACAAGGGCAGTATCCCACGTGTGGTGCGAGGGATCTATCCGTCTGTTTCTGAGCCGCATCCGGTAGGGTGTGAACCTGGGATTCCCATGGACCAAGATGATATTCTCCATCAGGAATGGCGTGGGCTGCCAACGCAAGGGACCAAAGTTTGGGACCAACTCGATGAGTGTGAGGGAAAGAAGGGAGACAGAGGGACAGACAGGCGGCAGTCAGCTCTCGCGTCAGCCCGGCCAATCAGCTGGCGAGGCTGCCCTGGCTTACTACCTTCCCTTCGAAACGTCAATTGCTCCTTCCTGCCCTTCAACCATCAAACACCACCGCCAGCCTCATCGGCCATGGCCGCACACTAATGCAGCATCACCAATTCCACCCTCACTTAGCCGTTCCAGAAGGTCCCTCTCGTGTGTCTCCCGCCTGCGTCTGTTCCTCCTGCTTCCTTACAAATCCGACCCTCTAAACGCGATTTCTCATCTCCCCACAGCCGCCCGTCATGGCTCTTGGCGCCTGCTTCCCCCTTCAGTCAAGCGCCTCGCAGGATCTGTCACTATTCGGTGCTCATCCCGTTGATATGACAGCCCGCTACACCCGCGGCTGGCCCGTTTCCCCCCCGACCCCTGCTTGACAGACGCTGCCATGGGCCTCGGCCTGACCTTGCAAAAGACTCGCCATATTTCTCTAGGTCCACATTCCCATCCGGGCCCGGATAAGCCTCACATGCCAAACGTAATCATCGCGCCTGTAGCCGTTCGGAACGCTCTTTGCCCTGACCAATCCTTCCGGTAAGCTACGACACTATTGCTGCCCTCTAGTCTGGCTTTCGGGCTCGTCTGGCCATGCATTCGGTGATGTGTGCCCTCTCCGCGTCCCTGGCCATGACTGTCAACAGTCAGGAATTCCAGAATGGGCAAAGCACTTCCTACTTGCTCTCTCGCGCCAGCTTGTCTCCTTCCCTCACGGCGCCGTTATATCATGTCGTGCAACCTCGCCCTCGTCCGTCTACATGATGCCCATCTCCAGCTCTCTAAGTCTTCCCTCTGTATTCCCATCTCGTCTCCTCCCTGCTCAATCACAAATACCGCGCTTCTTGTTGCAGGCCTTTGCTTCGGTCTCTGCTCCAGTCTCGTGGCTTGCGTGTGTTGTCTCGACAGCTCTACAAAACAACCAGAAGAAGAAGAAAACAAGTATCAAGGTCGCCGATATCATATCAGCTCGGTCATCCTCTGTGCACGTCATACAGACTCGACTCAACGACTTGGTTCATCTAGAGATTGGAAAGCTTCTTGCCAAAGATTCGGACAAGGGGGAGAGCTGCTCGGTCACCTCATCGCCAGTCATCCAAGACATCGTCGTCAATAAGCAGTGGACAGTCCCTGAAATCGCACCGCGAGACCGGACTCAACCTCCGTCAGCCTCCAGCCTATAAGCAGCTCGCTCTTAATTTCGGCCTGAAACGTGGTCAAGATGCCGTCCTACAAGAATGAGCCTATCGCCATCATCGGCAGTGGATGCCGCTTCCCCGGGGACTCTAGCCGGCCCTCCAAGCTGTGGGACCTGCTTTCCGACCCCCGCGATGTCCTCCGCAAGATCGACCGCTTCCGCGCCGACAACTGGTACAACAAGGATGGCCATCATCACGGTGCCAGCAACGTCCTCGACTCGTACCTTCTTGCCGAGGACACCCGCGTCTTCGATGCCCAGTTCTTCAGCATCTCCGCCTCCGAGGCCGAGGCCATCGATCCTCAACAGCGTCTGCTCATGGAGACCGTCTACGAGGCCCTCGAGGCCTCTGGCTCAAGCATCGAGTCCCTCTCTGGGTCCAACACCGCAGCCTATGTCGGTGTCATGTGCGACGACTTTTCCCAGATTGTCTACGGCGATGGAGAGAACGTCCCCACCTACGCTGCCACCGGCTCTGCCCGCAGCATCATCTCCAACCGCATCTCGTACTTCTTCAACTGGCACGGCCCTTCCATGACCATCGACACTGCTTGCTCTTCCTCGCTCATTGCCGTACATCAGGCCGTCCAGGTCTTGAGGAGTGGCGAGTGCCCTGTTGCCATTGCTGCCGGCACCAACCTGATCTTTGGGCCCAGTGAGTTCCCGCCTGTTGCGCCATCTGCCTGCTTCTGCCATTTTGCTGACCCACAAACAGCCATGTACATCGCTGAGAGCAATCTGAACATGTTATCCCCCACGGGCCGTTCGCGCATGTGGGATGCTGGTGCTGACGGCTACGCCCGTGGTGAGGGCGTGGGTGCTGTTGTTCTGAAGACGCTCTCCGCCGCTCTTCGCGACGGTGACCACATCGAGTGCTTGATCCGCGAGACCGGCATCAACCAGGTCAGTACAAAACCATCTGTACCTCCAGTCGCTGTAAAATACTGACACCCGGACTAGGACGGCCGTACCCCCGGTATCACCATGCCCAGTGCCTCTGCCCAGGGTATGCTCATCGCCGACACATATGCTCGGGCCGGCCTGGACCCTCTCAAGAAAGAGGATCGCTGCCAGTACTTCGAGGCACATGGCACCGGCACCAAGGCCGGTGATCCTCAAGAGGCTGGTGCCATCTTTCGTGCCTTCTTCCCCGAGAAACGCGAGGTCACTGGAGACTCTGAAGAGGATGACAACGATGTCCTCTACGTTGGGTCTATCAAGACGGTCATCGGTCACACCGAAGGCACTGCGGGCATCGCTGGTCTCCTCAAGGCGTCTCTGGCCATCCAGAACCGAACCATCCCGCCAAACATGCACTTCATGCGACTGAACCCGGATATCGAGCCCTACTATGGCAATCTGAAGGTGCCTGTCGATGCCATCGAATGGCCGGAGCTCCCAGACGGCACTCCTCGCCGCGCCTCGGTCAACAGCTTCGGCTTCGGCGGTGCAAACGCCCACGCCATCGTCGAGAGCTACGACCCGCCAGAGGGATTCCCGGCTGAGCCGGAACTGCCCGTCTCGACACCGTTTGTCTTCTCCGCTGCGTCCGAGCGATCCCTGGTGTCTCTCCTGAACGCCTACCTGTCGTTCCTCAAGGAGAATCCCGACTTTGATGCACGCACCCTGTCCTGGTCCCTCTCCAAGCGCACGGCATTCAACTTCCGCGCCGCATTTGCTGCTCCCACTATTGAGTCCCTCGCTTCAACAATCGAGGCCAGGCTCGCGGAGAGCAAGGAGAAGAAGGAGCCCGTTGCGACTCGTGCCAATGCCAAGACGAGTCGCAAGATTCTCGGTGTATTCACCGGACAGGGTGCCCAGTGGGCGACAATGGGTCGTGACCTGGTGACTTCCTCCTTCGCCGCCGAGGCTATAGTTGACAAGCTAGAGCAGTCCCTTGCTGAGCTGCCCGACGCGCCCGAGTGGTCACTCAAGGCCGAGCTGCTTGCGGGCAAGGAGGCTTCGCGCATCGCGCTCGGTGAGATCTCGCAGCCCCTCTGCACTGCCGTGCAGGTGATGGTGGTCGACATGCTCCGCGCTGCCGGCCTCGATTTCAGTGCCGTCGTTGGTCACTCGTCTGGTGAGATTGCTGCGGCCTACGCTGCAGGCTTCCTGTCCGCCCGTGATGCCATCCGCATTGCCTTCTACCGTGGCAAGTACACCAAATTCGCCAAGGGTCCTAACGGCAAGAGCGGTGCCATGATCGCCGCCGGGACCTCCATGGACGATGCGAACGATCTGTGCGGTCTTCCCAAGCTCAATGGCAGAGTGCAGTTGGCAGCGAGCAACTCCTCCGCCAGTGTCACCATCTCTGGTGACGAGGATGCTGTTGATTTTGTGCAGCTAATATTCGAGGACGAGTCCAAGTTTGCCCGCAAACTGAAGGTCGACACTGCCTATCACTCGAGCCACATGAAAGCCTGCTCCTCGTACTATCTCGAGGCCCTCGGAGCCTGTGGCATCCAGATCAACCAGCCTGGTGAGAATGCCTGCCCGTGGTATTCTTCTGTCTTTGGCGGCGAAAAAGTCACCATGGAGCATTCTGAGCTGCTCAGCAATGCCTACTGGAAGGACAACATGCTGCAGCCCGTGCTGTTCTCGCAGGCTTTGACTGCCGCTGTCAAGGATATTGGGACCCCAGGCCTGGCCCTCGAAGTCGGCCCTCACGCCGCTCTGAAGGGCCCTGCCAGCCTTACGATTGAAGAGGCTGGCGGTGCTGCAGTCCCGTACTTCGGGACCCTGTCTCGTGGTATCAACGACTCTACCGCCCTCTCGAGCACCATTGGCTCCGTATGGACAGTCCTTGGCACCTCTGCTGTCGACTTCAAGGCATATGATCGGCTCTTTGCACAGGACGCCACCTACACTGTGTCCAAGGACTTGCCCTCCTACACGTGGGACCACGAGAAGGTCATCTGGAACGAGACTCGTCTGTCAAAGGCGCACCGTCTCCGTGAGAACCCAACGCACGAGCTTCTGGGTGCTCGCGCAACTGATGAGGGAGAGGGCGAGTTCAGATGGCGCAACTACATCAAGCCCAACGAGATGCCCTGGCTGAAGGGTCATGCTATCCAGGGCCAGACCATCTTTCCTGCCGCGGGCTTCGCGGTCATGGCCCTCGAGGCATCCAAACAGCTCGTCCCCGATTACGAAAAGACGGTTAGGCTGGTCGAGCTGCTTGACTTCAGCATCCACAAGGCGTTGTCTTTCATGGATGACAACACGGGTGTAGAGACCATCTACGTCATGTCGAATGTTCACAGAGGGGAGGACACCATCACGGCCGACTTCTCTATCCATGCCTGCCAGAACAAGGAGACAGGTGGCTTTGTCTCGGTGGCCAGTGGCCAAATCCGCTTGACCACGGGTGAGCCCTCTGTGGAGGCCCTGCCGGAGCGTGTTGAGTCGAAGATCCCTCTTTTGCCGGTCGACACAGAGTTCTTCTACAAGGAACTGGCCAAGCTTGGATATGGATATACAGGTATGTTCAGTGGCATCACCGAAATGAAGCGCAGCGCCGGCCATGCATCTGGCGAGATGACCATTGCCCGTGACCCTGACTCTGTCACCCACCCGTGGGTTGTGCACCCTGCCACTTTGGATGTCGCGTTCCAGTCCATCTTTGCTGCCATCGGGGCCCCTGGCGACGGACGCTTGTGGACTTTGCACGTCCCGACTCTGATCAGCCGTATCGCTGTCAACCCTGACGCCTGCCAATCTACCTCTGGCGTTGAGATCCCTATGCCCTTCGACGCAACCCTTTCCTTGTCGGAGAATGGCATGACTGGCGACGTGGATATCTACGCCGAGGACGGGAAGAACGCCGCAATCTACGTCGAGGGTCTCCATGTTACGCCTCTCACGCAGCCCACTGCCGCCGATGACAGACAAACCTTCGCCGAGACACTATGGGATATCGCACAGCCCGACGGTGCCCTTGGGTGGAACGAGTGGGCTCTCACAGAAGATGAGACCGAGGGAGCCGCTCTCTGCGAGCGCATGTGCTTCTACTACCTGAACCAGTTGTACCGGTCAATCACTCTTGAACAGCGCGAGAAGTGCGACTGGCACCAGCTCTGTGTGCTCAATTGGGCGCAGTTCGTCCATGAGACTGCATTGAGTGGCAAGCATGCAACCTGCAAGAAGGAGTGGCTGGACGATACCTGGGATGACATCAAGCAAGACTTCGACCATTGGTCCAAGATCCACCCTCACTTCCATACACTGGTCTTCATCGGCGAGATGCTTGTGCCTTTTGTCCGTGGCGAATTGTCCATGCTCGATGAATTTCGCAAGGACGACAAACTGAGCGAGTTCTACTTTGGGCACTATGGCTACAAGGAGTACAACATGTACCTTGGCAAACTTGTCAATCAGATCTCGCATCGCCACCACAACATGAGGATCCTGGAGATTGGTGCTGGAACTGGCTCCTCCACAGCCGCCACGCTGGAGTGCCTCAATGATGGCTTCGCGACGTATACTTATACGGACATATCGGCAGCCTTCTTTGAGGAGGCCAAGGAGATGTTCAAGTCCAATGCGGAGAAGATGATTTTCAAGACGCTGGATGCTGAGAAAGACATCAAAGAGCAGGGCTTCGAAGAGGGCACCTATGATCTGATCATTGCGGGCAACGTCATTCACGCCACGGCCCACCTGGAGACGACCCTGAAGAACGTCCGCAAGCTGCTCCGCCCTGGCGGATACCTGTGTCTGCTTGAGGTCACCAACAACAAGCCACTCCGGATCGGCTTCGGATTCTGCGGCCTTCCGGGTTGGTGGGCTGGTCGAGAAGATGGTCGTGTCTACTCCCCCTTGGTCGGGCAGAAGGACTGGGACACGATACTTCGCAAGAGCGGCTTCTCTGGAGTCGACACTGCCACCCCCGAGGAGAAAGTATACCTCGTGCCCTTCAGTGTCATGGTCTCGCAGGCCGTCGACAAGCAGATGCACATGATCCGCGAGCCCATGGCGTTCAGCGGCAAGACCACCTTCACCGACAAGCTGCTCATCCTCGGCGGTCAAAAGGTCCAGACTTCTCGTCTGGTCCGAAGTCTGACTGCTGCTCTTGGGCCCTTCTTCCCTGAAATTCAAAACATTGAGAGCCTCCTCGATATAGACGAAGAGACTATCAACTCTCAGCCCACGATCCTCAGCTTGATGGAGCTCGACGAGTTGCTCTTCAAAGACTTCAGCCTGGAGAAGTTCCGCGCAATCGTCCGCATGTGCGACCACTCGCGCAACATGCTCTGGGTGACTGTCGGAAGTCGTGGTGAGGAACCCTACATGAACATGATGGTGGGCACGGGTCGCTGCTTGGTCGGAGAGATGCCCTCACTCCGCCTGCAATTCCTCAATTTTGATGCCAGCGAGAAGCCCAATGCCGAGACCATCGCCGAGCATCTTCTGCGCCTGCAAATCTCGGATGCATGGGGCAAGGGCCTCGCAAAGAGTTACGAGCCCCTGTGGACCCTCGAGCGAGAGATGTCGATTGACAATGGCACGATGCTCATCCCCAGGTATCTGCCCGCCACCGACATCAACACGCGCTTGAATTCCGAGAGGCGACTTATCACCAAAGATGTCACACCTTCCGAAGCCGTCATCGAGATCAACAGCTCTGGCTCTTCCTACGACCTGCTTGACTGCGCAAGCACGGAGGGCGCAACTGACGAGACTATCACTATTCAGGTCAGCAAATCACTTCTCTGCGCTGTCTCTGTCGCAGGCATTGGTTGCCTGTACGTTGTCGCTGGAACCACCAAGGTCGGGAAGAAAGTTGTTTCGCTCTCTGAAACCAACCGTTCCACCGTCGTGGTACCAAAGGCCTGGGCGGCAGAGTACGACGAAGACAACGAAGGAGCCATGCTTGTCGCCACTGCCGCGGAGCTGCTGGTGGATGCTATCCTCTCACTCAGCCCAAACTGCCAGTCCATGCTGGCCCACGAGCCCAGCGCTGCCGTTGCTCACAGTCTCAAGCGGCGATATGAGGCTTCTGGGAAGAAGGTGACATTCACCTCCACCTTGGCCGGCCCCTGCCCCGGTGTGAAACACTTCCACCCTTCGATTCCTGACCGTGTCCTCTCTCAATCCCTTCCCAAAGATGCCTCCGTCTTTGTCGACCTCGCCGAGAACAAGGAGTCTATGGGTGTAGGGGCGCGTATCAGAAAGTACCTGCCCCTCGGTTGCACGCCGAGGAGCGGTGCGGACTTGTACAGCGCTCGTGCATTTATGGCTCAGGTATACGACTCTGAGGTCGTTACGCAGACGCTCAAGCTTGCAGTGGAAAATGCCCAGGCCCTGGTAAAGAGTGGAAACAGCCAGCTATTCACGGAGAGCGTCGCGCTGTCTGCCATCTCGGGAAAGAATATCTACCGTCAAGGTCTGCGCATCGTCGACTGGAAGAGGGACGAGCCCGTGGCCGTGCGCGTCCTTCCTGCCGAGGAGTCGATCAAGTTCCGCACCGACCGTACATACTTCATGATCGGTCTCACCGGAGAAGTCGGCCTTGCCCTCACGCGCTGGATGGTGGAGCGCGGTGCTCGCCACCTCGCCTTGTCCTCGCGAAATCCCAAGATTGAGCAAGCATGGTTGGAACTCGTCGAGGCCGAGGGAGCTATCGTCAAGACGTACGCCATGGACGTCACATCCTGGGATTCCATCCGAGCTGTCGTTAAACAGATCGAGAAGGAAATGCCGCCAATCGGTGGTGTTGCAAACGGTGCTATGATCCTCAAGGACAGTCTATTTGCCAACCAGAGCCATGAGGTGTTCCTCGAGACCCTGAGACCCAAAGTAGACGGCACTAGGTTCTTGGACGAGATCTTTACGGACAACGATCTCGACTTCTTCATGTGCTTTTCGTCACTAGCATCTGTCTCGGGTAACATGGGCCAGACTGCCTATGCGGCAGCCAATGCGTACATGTGCTCGCTCATTGCCGGACGCCGTCAGCGTGGCCTCGTCGGCTCGGTCATCAACATGCCTGGTATCGTGGGTCTGGGATACCTCAACCGTGACCCTAGCAAGCTCGAGAGACTTCGATCTGTCGGCTATGCTAACATCAACGAGTGGGAGTTCTACCAATTCTTCTCCGAGGCTGTTATGGCTGGCCGCCCCGAATCCGGCCGCAATCCGGAGATCACGGCCGGTCTGCAGCAAATTGACGTCGAGAACAATGACAGCCCGCCCGCATGGATCAACATACCCCGTTTCGCGTGGCTGAGGTTGGTCAAGCCCCAGGAGCAAAACGCCGGTGGTTCAGGCAAGGGCACGGTCAGTGTCAGAAACAAGTTGAAGGAGTTGACCAAAGAGGAGGACGTTTATGAGCTTTTGCTGGGTAAGTTCATAGCAACAACAATGTTCCCATTGAAGCGCCTACTAACCCACTTTGACTACCAGATGGACTTCTCATGACTCTGTATCAGAGGCTGAATATGGCTCCCGAGGAGCAGGGGATCACACCGGAAACCACCATCGTCGAGCTCGGTGTCGACTCACTTCTTGCTGTCGACATGCGCACATGGTTCACCAAAGAGCTGGATCTCGACATGCCTGTGCTCAAAATACTCGGCGGCGCCACCGTCTCTGACCTTGTTGAAGACGCCGTCAAGCGTCTGTCTCCCGATCTGATCCCCAACGTAGTCAAGACGGCACCTGCCGAGGCCGCTGGGGATGAGAAGAAGGAAGAACCCGCTGCCGCATCAGTTTTGGCTGAGGCCGACCAGTCCTTTCGTGATCCTAGTGAAGCGGCGCAAGTCACCGATGCGGAGGCGAATCTGGGGGCCGCAGATAGCCCGGCTCCTGACGAGGATCGTGTTGATGATTCTTCGGATCGCTCTGACGCTGGCTCTTGGGTTGCTGTCCAGACACCTGCCGGGTCCGATGGGCCAGCGAGCGAGAGTGAAGTTCCTGATGAGATGGCAGCAGCAGCAGCAGAGGAAGAGGAGCAAGATGCGCAGGAGATCGACTTGCAAAGCTTGCCAAGACAGGACCAAGAAGCAGAGACGACAACGGCAGCAGCAGCAGCTTTCGAAGAGGTAGCTGAGAGCCCACTGCCATCGCCACTGGAGGAGACCACTCGGTCTGAGTCTCCCGATTCCAGTCATGTTGACTCGAACTCCGGTGCTGAGACCCCCGAGACTCACCTCTCGGATGACGAGACCGAGAATGCGAAGCCTCAAGACAGGGCAGTGGCTACGAACAAGGACACCGAAACCTCGATGACTGACTCAGAGCCCATCAAGGCATCAGATGAAGCAGAAGAGGTGAAAGTGGAAATTCCTGAAACACAGTTGGTATTTTCCCGGACCACAAAGATGTCCTATGCCTCTTCTCGATTCTGGTTTCTGATGCGGTATCTAGAGGACCCAACCACCTTCAATCTCACCTGCCGACTTCAGTTCACCGGGCGCATCCGAGAACATGATGCAGAGCGGGCCATCGCCGGCCTAGGCCACCGCCACGAGGCCTTCCGCACCGCCTTCTTTTCGGACCCCGGCCGGCTCAATGAGCCTACCCAAGGGGTCCTCGCGGAGGAGGACAGCCCTCTACGGCTGGAGAAACGGCGCATCCAGAATGAAGACGAGGTGGAGAAGGAGACAGACGAGTTGATGAAGTACATCTTCAAACTCCACCGCGGCGAGTCGATCCGCATCAAGCTGCTTTCCCTGTCGGACACGAAACACTACCTGCTCTTTGGGTTCCACCATATCGCGATTGATGGGTTTTCATTCAATATCCTTCTATCGGAGATCAACAAGATGTACGATGGAGAAGCGCTCCCGCCCGTGACGTGTCAGTTTAGCGACTTTGCTGAGAGGCAGAGGAGAGCCGTGGAAGAGGGGAAGATGGATGGGGAAATGCAATTTTGGAGAGGGGAGTATCCTGATTTCCCGGAGCCGTTACCTTTGTTCCCGGTAGCTCATGGGAGCAAGAGACGTGAGTTGAGAACTTTGCCCTCGGCGTGTTGGACTACATTCATTCCGTGACTGACAAGATGCGTGGCAGAAAACCAAACGAACTACAACTTCGAGCCGGCCGATTGCGAACTTGACGCCCGCCTCGTCCGCCAAATCAAGACGCAGTGCAAGCGCCACAAGATCACGACCTTCCACTTCTTCTTGGCAGTTCTCAAGGTCTTTTTGTTTCGCCATCTCGACACGGACGACCTCGTCATCGGGGTTGCCGACGCCAACCGTGCCGATGCCTCCGTCACCGGCACGGTTGGCTTCCTGCTGAACCTCCTTCCTCTTCGCTTCAAGTCAGCCAAGGGAGAGGTTTTCAAGGACTCGGTCATCGAGGCACGCAGCAAGGCGTACTCTGCTCTGGCTAACTCCAAGCTTCCCTTCGATGTGCTCCTCGAGACGCTGGATATACCCCGCTCGGCAAGCCACAGCCCGCTGTTCCAAGTTTTCATGGACTACCGGCAGATCAATGCGGAGCAGCCAAAGCTGCTTGGGGGTGAGGCTGTGGGGACACATTCGGTGGGACGCAATGGCTACGACCTGGTTGTTGATGTCAACGAGGTCGCTGGCACCTCGATGCATGTCACTTTCAGGATGCAAAGATACCTCTACTCCAAGCCGGCCACCGAGATGCTGTTCAGCAGCTACATGCGACTCGTCAAAGCATTTGCCACCAACTTCGACACCAAAGTCGACCAGGTGCCGCTTTGGAGCGCAGACGACATTGAAGGCGCCAAGATCCTCGGTCGTGGGCCGCAACTGACACCAGATTGGCCCGAGACTCTTTCTCACCGCATCATGGCGGTAGCGGCTCAACATCCAGAGAGCATTGCAGTCAAAGACGGAGTTGGCAACACTTTGGCCTACTCAGCCGTGCAGCAGCAAGTCCACACCATCAGTCAGGCGCTCACCAAGGCTGGCGTCAAGTCTGGGTCGCGGGTAGCAATTTTCCAGGAGCCGACCGCCGATTGGGTGTGCTCTCTGCTTGGGATCTGGCACGCAGGAGGCACATATGTTCCCATGGACCTGCGAAGCTCTTTGTCCCGGCTGGCCGCTGTTGCTGGCTCTGCGAAACCGACCGTCGTCCTGTGCCACGGCGCCACCGAGCAAATGGTCCCTGAGCTGAACTCGAAGGCAAAAGTGATCAACGTCTCGCAACTTGTTCCCAGCACCAAGACCACCCCAAGCAAAGCGAAACTCGAGGCAGACGCGGTAGTCTTATACACCAGTGGCTCGACTGGCGTACCCAAGGGCATCGTCCTGCGCCACTTAGCTTTCAAGAACACCATTTACGGCTTGACAAAGGAGTATAACATCGGCCGGGAGAGGGTCCTCCAGCAGAGTGCTTACACCTTCGACTTTTCGCTTGACCAGATCCTCTGTGGTCTTGTCAATGGCGGCTCCGTTTTTGTCGTTCCCAAGGCCAGTCGCGGTGATCCCGTCGAGATTGCCAAGATCATCTTGAACGAGGACATTACCTATACCCGAGCGACGCCTTCTGAGTACGCAAGCTGGCTGTCTTATGGATCGGAATATCTCAAGACAGCTTCGCAATGGAGGTTCGCCTGGGGCGGTGGTGAGATGATGACAAACGCGCTTCGACAAGGGATTGAAGAGCTCCGTCTGCCAGGCCTCAAGCTTTACAATTCCTACGGCCCCGGAGAGACCGTCACGTGCACGAAGATGGAGATCCCTTACCGAGGCGCACTCACCGAGACGACTTCGCCCGAGATCCCCGTTGGTGTCCCGCTTCCAAACTATTCGGTGTACGTTGTCGACCGCAATCTTGATCCTGTTCCGGCAGGTGTTTCTGGGGAGATCGTCATCGGTGGCCCCAGTGTTGCCAAGGGTTACTTGAACAACGAAAAGTTGAGCAGCAGCAAGTTCCTCCCCAATTACTTTGCTCCCACCGAGTTTGCCGCCGGAGACGGGAGAATGGTTTATCGCACGGGAGACGTCGGCCGTCTCCGAGGGGATGGCGCTGTCATGTTCCAGGGGCGAATCAACGGGGACACCCAGATCAAGCTGCGTGGCATCCGGATTGAACTTGAAGACATCGAAAGCTCCATCGTCCATGCTGCTTCGGGCGTCATCCACCGGGCTGTCGTCTCAGTCCGCAACGAGCTCTTGGTGGGACATGTCGAGTTTGCTCCTGGCACCCAGACCGAGAATGGCGGCCAATTCCTGCGCAACCTCCGCTACAAACTACCTCTGCCGCTCTACATGATCCCGAACATGCTTATACCCATGGATACTATCCCACTCAACGCCCATGGCAAGACGGACCGGCGTGCCGTCAGCGAGGTGCCACTGCCGACTCCCTCGGACGACAAGACAACTTATACTCTGACCGAGACGGAGAAGGCTCTCAGGGACCTGTGGATCGAAATTGTGCCCAAGGACATCATCAAGCTGGTTTCAGTCAGCGATATGACCAGCTTCTTCGAGGCTGGCGGCAACTCGTTGCTGCTTGTGAAACTGCAGATCATGATCCGTACGCGCTTCGCCGCCGCCCTTTCACTGGTTGAATTGTTTGAGAACAACACGCTTGGCGCCATGGCTGCGAAAATTGCTTCGGCAGAGAAGCTGGACCAGACCATCGACTGGGAGGACGAGGTAGCCATCGATCAAGACCTTCTTGATCAGGCGGATGACAGCATTCAACATGCTGTCGGAAGGGCTGGCGATGGTGCGACCATTTTGATGACGGGTGCAACGGGATTCTTGGGCAAGCACATCTTGAACAGCCTCGCAGCAGACGAGCGTGTTGCCCGGATCCACTGCGTCGCCGTCCGTGACAAGCCCACCCGTGCTGCACCTTCAGGACCCAAGGTTGTCGTCCACCCAGGCGAGATGTCGGCGCCTTTCTTCGGCATGTCTGAGGCCGACTTCAATCAGCTCGCCGAGAAGGCCGATATAATAGTGCACAGTGGCGCCAACCGGTCCTTCTTCGACTACTTCCAGCTTCTCAAGGGATCTAACTACACTTCCACACGCAGCATCGTGCGGCTCGCAGCGTCTCGCAAGATACCGGTGCACTTCATTTCTTCGGGCGGCGTGCTCAATCTTGATTCCGACGAGCAAGGAAACAACGACGCTATCACGCACTCCGCGACATCCGTTGAAGCGCAACCCCCGAAGGATGGGTCCGAGGGCTACGTGTCCTCCAAGTGGGCCAGCGAGAAGCACCTCGAGAAGGCATCGTCCCAGCTCAGGGTCCCCGTCACCATCCACCGTGTTGTCCCTGCTGGGGACGGTGCCGAGCCGACCGAGGCCATGTTCGAAGATCTCGTCGGCCAGTTCAAAGCGATCACCAAGAAGATACAACTCCTCCCGTCGCAGTCAGGCTGGGAGGGCGCCTTTGACCTCATCCAGGTGGAAGACCTCGCTCAACGGATCGTCAATGCCAGCATCGATTCCGCCTCCTCTGATCCAACATCAGATGAGAACTCGGCACGGTACGTCCACCACCGCTGCGAGATGAGAGTCGAGATGGCGGACGTGCTTCCTATGGTCGAGCAGTCTGGCTACAAGGACCAGTTCGGCACGTTGCCGGCCCATAAGTGGATCGGACGAGCCAAGCTCGAAGGGCTGAGATGGCACATCGCGAGCCAGGACAGTGCTGTCGTGGGCGACGAGGAGGCGGGTGAGATGGTCATGGTCAAGAGGTAGTTTGCCGCCTGTCTTTTTACTACTTGACCTCTGCTGGTCTGAGTGGTGAGGGTGGGTGGGCTGTATATCTCTTTTCAAATCAGGGGCAGGGGTAGAGTTGTGTAATGAGGCGGTAGTGGGGACATCACTGAGAAGACATTGAGCCGCGGATAGGCGGGTGTTTATCTGCTTGAAAGCGAGGCGTTGTGGCGCTGGGATGTGGCAAGAGAGGATCAGGACCCAGTTGTCTTGGGCTGGCATTTTGAATCTGGGAACTGGTCCGGCAAATCACTCTTGCTGTGACCGCTCTCCTTTGTATCTCCTTGTCGAAAACGAACGTCTGAATATAGATAGATAGATTTCTTGTTTATTTCCTTAATGAGACCGAAGCAATACCTCAACTGTCTGTGAGTCCGACGATCATGGTGACCTGCTGAATAAGAGTTGCTGACTTTGAGTACTGCTTCAACTACTAACAACTGTATTCACTGCGTGGTTTTTGACGAAGCTAGCTCTAGGACTACGCGACTGGCATGTAATTACCCGCGTCGGTCGAGCTGTACGGCGCGTAGACTGGTGGTTGAATACATAGCGAGCTGAAATCTTTTATCTAGTTTGCTGTTGACACTGAATAGTTGGCATCAGGGCCCACCCACCCTCGACGGCGGCTACTGACTGCCCTGCTTTGCATTGAGCTGCTTAGGAGCGGAAAGTCGTGTCATTGGACTACCCGGCGACATTGACAGTTGCGTCAAGACTTGGGGGGGGGTCACATGAAATACTTCTGGGCCCAGTCTCGAAGTGCGGGTATTGTGTCATGCTCGTGTGACGAACCAACGGCTGAGTCTCGACAAAATGTAAGTAGTCATGTAGCCACCCTGCGGTGGAGAATAGACCAGGCGGCTAGCGGAGATATACTACATTGCTTCGATAACAACAGACTGGTGGGGTGCAGGCCCAGAAGGCAGAAGACAACTTTGAATTTACCTCTCCTGCCACAAAAGTCTGATGTTTTCGTAAGAGGTTTAATATGAATGAAAAAGTTTGGTGCTCATTTGTCTGGCAAACACAACGTTTCCCCTATGCTCTTTCGACTTCCATTTTATTTGTGGAGCATAAAGACTTTGCAACTGTGGGCTCCCGATTCTTACCGACTCGGTTCGCCAGGGCTTCTGGTCTCGAAAAGGCGTGTGCACAGAACAAGAAAAGAGGCATAGGTGGCAGCACACATGACTAGGCATGACATTCGTGTGAGAGCCAACCCTTTGCAGCCATCTTGGGTCGAATTCTACGCGCAGGGTGTTTTCTTGATGAGTGGTGGGCTACCAGTTACATGCTCAAAATACAGAACGGTGCCAGAACGTCCAGAGGTTCGTTGGCCTGTTGCACGCGCCTAGCCAGTTGACTGTCCATAGCGCCGTAGCGGAATAAAAGGTGACACAAGGTTTATACAAGCAACAGATTCCACGCAACCATGAGCGCCGAAACAATATTAATGCAATTCTGTGCGATTGAGTGGGTATCCTCGTCTCTTCATCATACATCATATAGATACACCGTATTCTTTGTCTCATCGTACACTTCGGATCTAGATCTCGATCTTCTTGGCCGTCTTCGCGGTCGTTGATGTCTCGTATTTCCTCCACTTCCACATGGGGATCTTGGCGTCGTACATCTCATCAATCTCGGCGAAAGTCCTGCCTCTCGTCTCGGGGAGGAGGAAGTAGACAAAGGTGATGACTCCCAGCATACAACCGGCAAAGACCTGTGAGGATAGAACCAGTCAGCAAACTGTGAAGCAAAGAAGCCAGCGTGGCCAAGCACAAGAGGGGGTTGAACTCACGAGGTATGTCTTGGCACCGAGGCCAGCTCCGTCAGCGGCGGTGATCTGCGGCACAACAACGGTCGTGATGACGGCGGTGGTCTGGGCCCAGGCGATGGTGTAGGACATGGTGTAGCTTCGAAGCTTGGTGGTGGGGATCTCGGAGGGCATGACGTTGGACAGGGAGTAGAAGGAGGAGCCCCAGAAGAAGTTGAACATGAAGGAGCAGGCGGCAACTCCGATGGCGTACGAGGGCTCCGAGATGCGGAAGGCCAGGCCACCGGCAATGACGTCCAGGATGAAGAGCATGCCCATGCCGCCCATGGCGAGCGGGCGACGGCCGAGCCTCTCGATGACCAGCGGGGCAATGCAGCAGCCGGCAAGGGTGCAGCAGGAGGCGATAACGGTGAGGGCGAAGGGCGAGGCGACGTTGATGTCCTGCAGGAAGACGGTGGCGTAGGTGGTGGACAGGAAGACGCCCGAGATCTGGTTGAAGGAGAAGAAGGAGCCGGCCGTGATGGTGCGCTTGATGTTCTGCCTGTCGAAGATGTTCCAGAAGGACACGTCGTTGATGAGGGAGCGCTCGTTGTCCTGGCAGAGCTTCATGACGCGCAGCTCATCGGCGACCTCGGCGTCCGAGTTGCCACGGAGCTTGCGGAGGGCGGAGAGGGCCTGGTCGAACTTGTCCTTGCCGATGAGCCACTGGGGGGACTCGGGCATGATGGCGGTGGGCGGGATGAGCAGCGCGGGCAGGGCGCACTGGACGGCCAGGGGAACATCGTAGGAGAGCTTGTCGCCGCGGGTGCTGGTGGCGAAGACGACACAGGTCGCCACGACGCCGGAGAGCAGGTTCATGATGTTGATACAGGCGACGACACGACCACGGATGGCGACGGGGACGACCTCGGACAGGTACAGGGGGGCGGTTGCGTTGGCAATGCCCATGGAGATGGCGACGATGGAGCGGCCGCCGACGAAGGCGCCCAGGTTCGGGGCGAAGATCTGCAGGAGCGTGCCGCCGACCGAGACAACGTAGGCGATGAGGAGAGGCCATTTCCGGCCGAGGTAGTTGTTCAGGGGGTATGCGAAGAGGGCCCCGATGATGGAACCGACCAGAGGGATGGAGAGGAGCAGCGACTGGTTGCGTGCAGTGAAGACGAACTCGCCTGTTGCTTCGTTGACTCCTTGGTATTTCTCGACCTGGGAGAGACGGTAACGAACGAGGTCAGCCCATGGCCCGTGTTTGCTTTTGTTCGCTTGTGTTCACCCCACAGAGAGACTTACAAATGGCTTCAGGGCGATGATTGGTGAGATGACCTTGTCGTCGTATCCGAACAGAAACGAGGCGGCGGCAAACGTTACACAGGCGAAGATGCTATAAGAGAGGGAAGAAAGACTCCAAGTTAGCCGATTGAAATAGTCCAGATGAGAGTTCACGGACGGGAAGGGAGGCAGGAGGCAGGAGGTGATGGATAATATTTCCAAGGCCTACTCACAGGAAGGGGTTGACGGCATTGCCCTGAGCAATGACGGGCTGTGGAGGCTCCTCGTGATGCATGGCCCCGAGGGCATCGGTCTTCTCGATGCCATTCTTCTGGTCGTCCATGTCTATACTCGTAGTTGGACTCATGATGACGGGTCAGGCAAAGGACTCTGCCGGGCTGTGGTCAAGGTGAAAGGGGAGGAGGAAGAGAGAGGTGGTGAGAGATGGGAGAGATAGAGTTTAGAAGAAACACTGATAAAGAAAAAAAAAGGGAGAAGAGACCCGTGCTTGATGAGATGAGGTCTGAGCACTGCAGAGCCAAAATCCGGGGTAGTGAGGCGGCGATGGGAATGTTTATATATACACAATATGATGTGCACCTGGGTGCGGTGCACAAAAGCCCACGAGTCGAGGGACAGGATCAGACGATGAACATGTTGATGTGCGTGTAAGTCAAGTCAAGTCAAGCCCGGTACAGTATGTAGTCAGTAGTCGCGCCGGACGTGCAGCCAGCCCTATGTCGACTACTTGGAATGGGCCGAGACTGGCCGGTCAGGGGGGGTGCAAGGGGGGCCTGGGTGAGGCTGGCCGCACCACGTTAGGCTGCACAGATACCTTTGGTAGACCATACCCGCACGGCGCAACAGCAGCAGCAACAAACAGCTGAGCAGCCAGCACAGAAACAGCAGCTGCAGCTGCAGCTGAGCAAGGAGGACAGGCAACGGGCATGCACGATTCAGTTTCGCAGGTGCGGGGCCCCAGAAATCCCAGGGAAAAAAGGAAGCTCTCAGTCTATTTGTGGGGGCAGAATTGGCGCCGGCAGCATGAAACCAGAGGCCCAAAGGGGAAATGGAGGGACAATCTCGGAAGCAGGCGTGGAGCCAGAGTTTCTCCGGCCGGGGCTGGGCGTGTGTGGTCGGCAGCTCCGGCCAGCACCAGCGAGCAGGGCAGCCAGGCCCAAGGGCACGCATGGGCACAAGGCTGTGTCTGGGGGTTTGGGCGTCATCGACCGGGCCCAGGACCAGCTTGACATGACAACTGACAGCAGCCGAGACACGAATTCTCCACGCTCCTCCTCCCCATTGATCCGAAGCCCAGATCCAGATCCCCGATCCCAATCCCAATCAGACTCTGGTCTGATGTGTGCGACTGAGGTATGAATGGCAAACTCATCCCCGTCCCCGTCTTTATCCCCACAACGGCCGACCACCTCCGAAGCCAGGCCGGCGCTACAACCACAACAGCAACAGCAACAGCAACAGCAACAGCAACACCAACACCATCATCACCCCCATCAGCAGCAGCAACATGATCATCAGAACCAGGCTCAGGGCCAGCAGAACCAACAGCAGCAGCAGCAGCAGCAGCAGCAGCAGCAGCAGCAGCAGCAGCAGCAGCAGACTGTCAAGAAGGCCTGTGACAACTGCCGCCTGCGGAAGACAAAGGTACGGACGGAACCAGTGATATGCACACATACACACGTACACTCGCATACTCCTACTCCTACACTAACACGCTCACACACGTGTTTATGTGTGTACATATATACATTCATATATGTATCACATATACAAGCGCGCAGCATCGTACCACAACCCGCCCATGGCCCGTGGTTGGCGGCGTGTAAACTCCTCCCCCCCCCGGTACATGTGCCATGTGTATAAGAGACGGGTCTAGAACGCCGGGCCGGGCTGTGCTGCGCTGCTGCCGTGCTATACCACTGTGTCGGTGTGATGTATGTTGACAGTTTCGGTAGTGTGACCTGACCAACCCGTGCACCAACTGTGCCTCGCGTGGCTTCGAATGCACATATGCCACCCCCCATCGCAAGAGGGGCCCTGCTGGACGGTAAGCCGTGTGCACGTGTGCATAGCACGATGAGAAGAGAAGAGAAGAGACAAGAGACAAGAGACAAGAGACAAGAGACAAGAGACAAGAGACAAGAGACAAGAGACAAGAGACAAGAGACAAGAGACAAGAGACAAGAGACAAGAGACAAGAGAAAGAAGAAACACAAGTGCTGTTGCATATCATGCCGTACAGAGATCATCGTGACGTCTATCAACCTCTCTCCTCTGTCCTCTCCTCCCTCCCTCTCCCCTCCTCTCTCCGTTGCAGCCCTTCTGTCCCTCCCCCGTCCACACCCCCGTTCATCCTATGATCTATCTGCCTGTCGTTTCGTTTCATCTGTCCATCTGTCCATCTGTCCATCTATCCACCGATCCATATATATTGTTCTATCTGCAAACTGGCTGGGCACTCATCATATTCTTTATTCGCGCCCGCAGCCGTCTCAATGAGATCCGGGAGCGCGAGCAGAAGCGAATCCGAAACGCCGAGTCAACCTCCGTGGCCTCGTCCTTCTCGCCCTCGGCCCCTGTCCTGTCCGTCTCCAACCATGAAGCGAACGATGCAAGTCCCGGAAACACCCGTGGCATGCCCCAGCAGAACCTCCAGCAGCAGCAGCAGCAGCAGCAGCAGCAAGACCAGTTCATGTTTGGCGCTGATTCCTCGGGCCTGCCAGGTGCTGCCGACCAGGTCTCAGGGCTGACCCCGTCATGGGACGGCATGCTTGCCTCGTTTGGGCCCGCCTCGGCCTCGCTCGCCGGCCCGGCCCCCTCTGACTCCCCGGACGGCCGCGCCGGGAGCGCCGCCTCCAACACGTTTGACGACCTCGTCTTCTCGCTGCGCCAGTCCCAGTACAACAACCACTCCCTTAGCAACGTCGCCGGACACCCCCCGATCCCCCACGCATCGCCGGCCAGCAGCAGCAATGTCCTCTCGGTGCCCTCCAGCGGCTGGCCGGCCGTCATCACCGACGAGAACCTCATCCGCTGGCTCGACATCTACTTTGAGCGCCTCTACCCGACCCTGCCCATCCTCAAGCGCTCCTCCGTCTTTGCCCGCCTCCTCGCCCAGGAGCACCGCACCAACCCGGACTTTGGCGCCATGCTCCTCTCCCTCTCCGCCTTTGGCCTCATCCAGCCCGTCCGCGTCAGCGAGCAGCGCTCCGCCTCGTCCTCGTCGCGCCAGCAGATGGTCGACCTCCTGCTCATGGAGGCCGTGCGCATGCGCACCGTCGTCGACTTTGGCCAGTCCCCGACCATGGACATGATCTTCACCTCCGTCTTCCTGTTTGCCTGCCTCTTCCAGAAGGGCCAGCACAACGCCGCCTGGCTGAGGATGAGGGAGGCTGTCGAGCTGGGCTGCATCTTCGGCCTGGACAAGTTCGACTGCTACCTGAACTGCTCGCCCGAGCAGAAGCAGCAGCGGCTACGGGTTTACTACCTGCTGTCCGTGACAGAAAGGTAGGCATCAACGCACACACATGCACACATGCACCATGCACACACATGCACCATACACACATACACACATACACATGAAAAGTCCCCATCGGGAGACGATGACTTTAACAATCACTACAGAGCATACGGGCTGCAGCGCCACCACTCTGTCGGCTTCGTGGGCGAGCCCAGCGCCTCGACGCAGTCCCTGCTCGAGTCCATCTCGGGCGTGGCCGACAGCGCTGATTCCTCCGGCATCGTCATCCAGGACGACGCCGAGGCAGCTGGCATGCTGGGGCTTCTACTCCTCATGAGGCTCTTCGACCCGATAAACGAGGACTTCCTACGCTGCTGGAACGGTCACTGCAAGAGTGACATGGGCGGCTGCCGCTTCCTCAACGAGCGGACCGCCGTCATGATATACGACCAGATCGACCGTCACGACCTTGAAGGGAAGAGCTCGTCGACAGCCGCGGCGGCGGCAGCAGCAGCAGCAGCAGCATCAGCAGCAGCATCAGCATCAGCCATGAAGGTACCGCAGTCGGTGGCAGCGTCCTCCGCAGCGAGCCACGCGCAGATGGCGGCGGCTGAGCGGCCACCGCCGCCCGTCCCGTCATGGCTCTCCGCGGCAGCTGCGACCTCATCCCAGCAGGCTGACATCCTGGTGAACCAGCAGTGGCTGCTGAACCGCCTCTGGCACTTGTGTCTTTCACATAAACTCCTCGTGCCCCAGTCAGGGCACGCGGCACTCTCCATCTACAACGCCGTGTCGATAGCCGAGAACACGCTGAGGATCTGTCAGACGACGCCGCTGGCGAGCATCGAGGTGCACGGCATCGGCATGATCGAGAAGCTCTACACCATCGTGGAGAGCGCCATCGCCGCGATCCAGTACTGGGAGGCAGCCGAGGACGGGCAGGTCGGGACGGATGGTGTTGGGGGCGCGGGCGGGAACCACGGCGTCGGCGGCTCGCGGCAGCACCACGCACACAACATACACCACCGCAAGCCGCTGCTCAAGGGCTACCTGGAGCTGTTCAAGACCATACGGGCGGGACAGCATGTGTTCCTGACCAAGTACAACGCGCTGGTGGGCCAGGAGCTAGGCCTGATTCTCGAATAAGGGAGGCCCTGGAAGCGGCCATTCTCCGGATGTATATACCTGCTTAACCAGTCTGACGAGAACGAGGGGCGCAAACTCTATACGTCCGGTACGCTTATTACACAGTAGCTCAGGAATTGTCTCAAGTCCCAAGTCTTGATCTGGCCCCGGTGATGACGAGCCTGTGGGTCCCGGCCACGAGGCTCACCCCCTCGTCGACCAGGGCGAGAGTAACCCTCCGGATTGTAGTGTCCGTCGATCTTGCGGAGAGAGGCGGAGAGGGCGTGGGGAGACCTGGTCCCAAGACTTGAAGAACGTGTGACTCCGGACATTCACCATCATGCGAATCCCACGGCGGGGTGGAGGGGGAGAAACACAGGCAAATCTTCGGAGAAACACCCTTGGCATTGTCTCGTGACTAGTCTAGTAGTTATTAGTTTGCTTTTCCTCCCCGAGTCTGCCTGCGCAACTCCTCCTGCCAGCACCTCTCGGACAGGGAGGCACGGTGGTGTGAGCTGGGACGGATTGTTCCCGATGAATTGGACTGTGGCAGGAAATAGCTTGTCCAAGTCAGGGGGATCCGCGCCGACATGACCGACTATGCTGGCTCAAACGATATCCGAGTCAGCACTCTACTATAGCAGACACAAGGTCTATTTCGGGCGCGAACTAGTTCCCTGGCAGATCGCCGCGGCACACTTGTAGACTGCGGTGGTGCCACACTGCCCACCCGGCAGGTAGACTTGTCGATCGGCTCCGCGGGCCAGGAGGCTCTGCCCGGGGGATAATTCTCGGTGTTTCGCCCCCGACAGCATTCTCCCGACGGTGCAGCCACACAGCCGGTGGAGATTCCAGCACCGGCCGCTAAGGACCCGCAGATCCCTTTTACTTGTACCGCAGTAGCCCAGTCCACCTCCTTGTCTTGCCCTCCGAACTTTTCCTATTCTGGATTCTTTAACGCCCGCCTTGCACGTCTGTTGTTCAACCAAACATTGTCCGCTTCAGGCATATATCACATTGTATAAACCGGCCTCTGCTACGCTCAAGATTCCCTCCCCCCCCCCGCCCACTGCTCATTCACGTCTTACACAAACCCACAAGCACTTGTCATGGGTTCAGTCACGCCACCAGAAGAGCGGGAGCCTCGCCTTGTAAACGGCACAAGGTTAGCCCCCAAGGACTACGCGCGCTGGCGGCCGTCGTATCATCTCATCGCACCACGTGGATGGATGAACGACCCTTGTGCCCCAGGCTACATTCCATCAACAAACACGTACCACGTTGGTTTCCAATGGAACCCAAACGGAGCTGAATGGGGCGATATTGTCTGGGGAAAGGCATTTTCGTCTGACCTGGTGTCATGGGAAGTACCCGAGGCCCCGAGCCTGAAGAGGGATGCTCCCTATGACTCCGAGGGCGTGTTCACGGGCTGCTGGAGGCCGACAGGCCTAGACGGGAAGCACAAGGGCGGCGCAGACGCTAAGGGCGAGGTCAGCTTCATCTACACCAGTGTGTCAAGACTGCCGATACACTACACCAAGGAGTACCACCGCGGCTGTGAGACCCTGAGTCTCGCAACAAGCAAGGATGGCGGCCATACGTGGACAAAACATGCCTCCAATCCTATTCTGCCCGGCCCACCAGAAGATATTGCAATCACCGGGTGGCGGGACCCTTACGTCGCAACCTGGCCTGCGGTGAGGGAGCTCGTGGCCAGGCGCAAGCCTCAGCAGAACGGAGCGCACGCGACAGAGGAGCAGGAACCGCTCTTTGGTATCATCTCCGGGGGCATCCGCTCCAAGACTCCCGCCACATTTCTCTACAAGGTCGACCCCGCCGACCTGACCAAGTGGACCTACATCTCGCCGCTCACAACGCCGGGCCTTAACTTTGCACCCTCGCGTTGGACAGGCGACCTGGGCGTGAACTGGGAAGTGACAAACTTCGTGTCCCTGAGCTCCGCGGACAAGAGACACAGCCAAGACTTCCTCATCTTCGGCGCCGAGGGCTGTCAGCCCCCACACGGCGGCGCCGGCGTCGTTCCCGGCACCAAGAGGTGCCCCCGTGCGCAGCTATGGATCGGCATCGACCCTGCCGAGGGTGAATCCGAGCATGGGGCCCTGACCGAGTTCTCGTACGGAGGAGCCTTCGACCACGGGCTCTACTACGCAGCCAACGGCTTCTTCGACCCGGTGACCCAACAACAGGTCGTCATCGGCTGGGTGACAGAGGACGACATACCCGTTGAGATGCAGGCCAACCAGGGGTGGAGCGGATGTCTCTCACTCCCCAGGGTCGTCTCCCTGGTCGAGATCAACAATGTGGTGCGGGCGACCAGGTCTGACCTGAAGAGCATCACCAACGTCAAGGCAACGCCAGTCCCTGGGCAGGATGGCCTTTCCACGGTGCAGACCCTCGGGATAGCACCTGAGCCGCGCCTGCAGAGGCTGCGCAACGGTGCCACAAGACGGACAGCTCAGCCCGGTGTGCTCAAGTCAAAGACGCAGACGACGCAGAACTTCCTGGCCCTCGAGACAGCACAGTGGGAGGCACGGGCCTCGTTCTCGTCGGCTTCGTCCAGCGAGCGAGCCGGCCTGGCCATCCACCATGGCGGTGCCTCCCAGCCGACCAAGCTGTACTTCACGCCGGCCGACGAGACGTTCGTCATCGAGCGCCCGGATTTCTACGCCCCGCCGTCGTACAAGGGTGACAGACAGGACACAAAACTGCAGACGGAAACCGCGCCCTTCACGCTCTTCACAACGCGCAATGCGCAGACCGGCGCCGAGGTCGAGGAGAGGCTGGTGGTGAACATCTTCTACGACGGCAGTGTGCTTGAGGTGTTTGTCAACAGCAGGGCCGCCATCACGACGAGGGTCTACCTCGAGGATTCCAGGTCTAGTGGCTTGGAGTTCTTCGCTGACGGGGCGGACGTCGTGTTGGAAGAGGCTGTCGTCTGGGATGGGCTGTCTACGGCTCCATAGACACGTAGCAGCTGAATGTGCGAACATCAGTACGCAGAAAGCTGTGAATGCCAGGCATGCACGGCATGAATAGAATTATGAACTCTCACGCACGGGCTGAGGAATGGTTCCTCCTAAGTCGGTTCAAGGTACGAGGAGTTTTGGGATTTTGGACTGATATTATGGAATGGACAGACGTCAACATGGCACCTCTATAGATTGCATGATACCAAATTGCAGATCGTGCATGCGCCTTTTCACACTGATATTCTTTGTTACGACAAAACTGTCAGGGGAATTATATTGTGCCTGAACCCATCTGATCTACATTACCTTGACTGTCTGGGTCCCGACCCATGTAGCGTAATTGTGCCTGCGCCCTCGACTAGAAAAGACTAGCAGGATGTGTCGATTATAACAGAAAGCAACTAGTAGTTAACACCCTTCTGCCGGAAAAGTTCCATATGCAGCATCCTTACATCACCAAGTTATATAAACACTAGCAAAATGTCAATCGTATCGTCTGGAATATTAAATTGCTAACGCTGATGTGAAGAACTCGAATGTTTGCTGAGCAGGTTGATCATCTGGTGGCTTCTCCTCCTCCGTCCATAAACAACTAATACGCAAACCAACGCAGACGTTGCCAGTTGGGAATTCTCGATGTCCTCGGCGACGACGTGGAAACGCAACTGGGGAAACTCAACATCCATACCTAATTCCACGTCTGGCAATAACAGCAGCGAACGTAAAGGCTTTCGGCTTGGAAATGGATTACCAAATATAAGTCAACGTACCATCAACTTAAGCACATACGGCCATAGACACAGGAAAATACGGGATCCCGTCCGCTCTCCCTTAGTTAAGCCTGTGATTAATAAACTACTTATCGTCTCCGTTTTACCCTCCCCCCCAATGGCTACGAAGGACAGCCGGCCGCGCCAAGCCCAGCCTCCAAGTTTAACTATCGTTTCCCTATTATATATTGCAATGCCCATTTAACCGCCCCGTTTAATGCTAACAATGCCCGCCTAATTAAACTAAGGCCTTCAATGCTATATTAACGCCCCTTCTTTATAGCGGTCTTATCTTATAATCCCGCGATTCCCTCACAATCCATAGCCTTTGCATATAAAGCTTAAGTAGCTTTTCTTTATTATTAAAGGCGCAGCAGGCCTAATAATTATAATCTTATAGCTAACGGCTAAGTAGGTTAGTTCCTTTGTTATTTAGTTTTAATTTTCTTTCTTTTATCTCCTTAAAATATATTTTTCTATATATTATAAATAAACTTACGTAAAATCATTAAGCTATTATTATATATTACTACTTAAGTAATAGCTAATATATTAATAGTTATAAATAAAGCTTTCCTGCCTTAAAGAGGAAATAAATTAACTTTTATTTATAGCAAAATTATAACCTTATATAAACCTAGGATTCCGCGTTTATATGCTTGCTTATCTTTATAAAGAAGGTCTTATACTAAGGTGCTGAATATACTTGCCATTCATACCACTTAGTCCTTAGCATACCCTTGATCTTAGCCAGGATTTAAATATTCTATTCCGCGCGTTTATATATATAGCTAAATTACTAACAAAGACATAATAGCCTTTTGAGGTGGGATTATAAGAGCGTTATATAATACAGGCTGACCTTATTATGCAACTCACATTAACCTAGGAGATACCGTGTTTACTTATTATAAGGCATTAAGTGAAGCCTTGCTTATATGCCCCTTATAAGCCCTACCTTTTAGCATAAATTAATAAGACCTTGCATTTATACCTTAATCCAATAATTAACCCCTATGTGTAGCCTAAGTATAGCATTGCTCGCTATAAGTGCATAAATAGCATGATAACCTTGCATTTATGCTTTAATTTAATACTTAACTTTCTTAATGCCTTAGTTGCATTATTACATTATTGCTTAATACATGGCTGGTTTAATGACCGGCCAGTATGCTTAAGAGTTATTGCTTATTTTAGTTATAATAATACTTATATTATTTTATAATCCATTATTACCGCTAAATCCATAATAAGAAGGGGTTCATAATTAGCTTTAAGCTATTAAGATAGCCTTGCTTTTTAATAATTAAGGATAGTTCTTTTATAGCCTATTGGCATTTAATTATATATAATGCAATATATAATATAAACGGCAGCTATTATAAAATAAATATAAGTGATTACTTATTATTTACTTAATTGCTTAAGGAAATATATATAATTATTAAGATTTAAGAAATGGAAAGAGGCTTTTATTATAAGTTAAACTTAAATAAAATAAAACTTTGCTTTCCTTGCTATATTAATTTGCATTATTAATTTTCTTATTCTCTTTTCTTAACCTTTCCCTTATATAATAGTTATCTAATTAATATTATTATGAATCTTTCTACCCTAAATACCTAGCACTTTAAAATACTTTAATAAAACTTTTATAACTACTTAGGTATATCATTTTAGAATACCTATAAAGATTTGCTTATGCTGCTTTAGTATATATACATAGTTAGCATAACTTATAAGTTATTTAATAAAGATATTAAGATTTTTAATTTCTTTAAGATTAAGCAAAGGAGGGATGAATTTCTTAACCGGAGATTTCCAGGCTTCCATAAATACCTTATAGCTATAAGCCCTTACTTAAATTAACCCCTGGAAGACATTATAGGATAAATTACTTATAAGCTTTAAAATAATAATATATTTTAGTTTAATTAATTTATAAAGCTTTTACATTAAGTAAACTTTTCTTCTCCCTTAAGATTTTTTAATAAGTTTAAATTAATACTTAACTTGGATTCGCGGGACTAAGAAATGATTAAGCAAACTTAAGTTTTTAAATAAGGCTTTGCAATTAATATTATTATAAGCTAATATAATATAATTCACTCCTTATTTAATTTAAAGCAATCCATAAATAGTAATAATAATTAATTAAATTAAGTTAAATAATAAGCTTGTAAAACCTAGGTATTATAAAGTATTTATAAGATACTTTTTATTATTAATAAACTATTTAAAGCAACATTCTTAGTTATTAATTAACTATCTTAAGAAAAGTTAAGTTTTATCCTAGGTATAATATACTTATCTGCTAATAAATAACCTAAAGGGATATTCCTATTATTAGTTAATTACTTAAAGAGATAACTTATATTATTAATAAACTATTCCAAGAGTTGCCCCTATTATTAGTTAACTATTTAAAATAGTTACCTTATTTATTAAATAGCTAATTATGCTTAGCCACATTAGACTGCGGCCAGCTATTAACTTCCATGCTTTTAACTAGTGGGTAGCTAGCAGCCTTTAAGGCTTGGATAAGGCAGCTACGCGCTTGTTTATAAGGCTGCCTATATAATTATTGCAACTTGCATTATATCCTTGGAAATATAACCTCATAATCCCTTTAGCAAACCTTATCAGTCTTAGCGCATATATATATAAATAGCACAATGGCCACATATTTATCCTTAATTTAGTTAATGCTCTGTAATTAAGCCATAACTATTATACTATAAGCCGGGACCCACACTTATCAGCCTTAACTAAAGCTTAAAACCAACTTGAGAAACACTGGGGTAACCCTATTTTTTCATAGCTAAGGATAGTGCTTTTATAATGTAAATATAATGGCAATTATAATACCAAATTTAAGTAGCTGTTTATTATTTATTTAATTAGTTAAGAATTACGCATATTTGCTTATTAAGCTGCAAGAACTTCCTATAGCTAAGATAAGAAAAAGGCTAAACTACCCTTTTATTTCTTAATTTAATTGCAATACAGCTAGCTCCTTTCTTCTACCTAATTTAACTAAACTTACTTTCACATACCATTAACCAAACCTATTACTATAGGATCAGCTTAATTTATTATAATGGCATTAAGCTAATTTATCTCTTTAAAATCTATCTCTTTAAAATCTATCTCTTTAAAATTAATAAACACTCTATATATTAAGTCTTTCTAAGTTATATTATATAAGTTTCTAGGATTATAATTTTAATAAGACTATAAAGAAGCGCCCCGTTTTCTTTAATAGGTATAAGCTATTAATAAAATCATTAAGTAGCTTAAGGAAGCAATAAAGTACTATAATTATTTTATATAATACTATTAAGGGGATAAGAGCTTTTATTTGCCAAATAACTATATTAATACGCAATTTAGGGATATCTGCAGATATCTTAATATTATAAAGCCTTACCTTACTTAATATTATAAGTGCCTTAAGAATGCCATGAAATACATTATTATTAAGCTTTAAAGCGGTAACCTTTATTAATTTAAGTTATTTTTAAAGTTAATTAATATAATATCGTTAAATAGTAACCAATGGCTTTATAACATTCTTTTATTAATAGTTAAATATCTTAAGATATTAGTAAAGCGGGTTGTAGCTATAACTTGCAAGGGTGGCAGCATATAGGGCTGTTATTTCAAAGTAAGAGGACTAAAGTTATCTTTTCCTTATTAGTGGTTAAGTTTAAGTTATTTTTAATTTACTAATAATTAAATTCCAAGTTATTCTTTATCTTTAGTTTATTAGTATTTTAATTAAATAAAAGTTATATATATTGGTAAGCTTAATGATGCTATGTATTTATCTATTAATAACTTACTTAAGATAAAAACACCTATTATTAGTAATTAGACCAGCCTTAGTTTAGGCAGATAGAAAATTTTATACTTTGGTTTGCTGGTAAACATAATTTAAGGAAATCATTAATTATTAATAATTAAGCTTAGCAAGGCTATATTGGAGTTATGCAATGTTTTTAATTAATTTATAAACTTTTAATTTTAACCTTGCGCTTTTTAATTATTAAATACCGCTATAAGTTATTAAAAAGATTCATTAAGCATATGAATTTCATTGCTATTTATAAAAGTATTTTTGGAAGTATGCAATTACTAGTGAATATATTTAAATGAAGGTATTACTTAAAGTACTATAGTAGCTACTTTCTATAATGTCATCCCTATTCGCTCCCCATGGTA